GGGGGGGGGGGGCAGGCTTGCTCATGAAGTCAGCATCTCAGCCATCAGCTGAGAGAGCAGGACCTTTGTTCTAAGGGAAAGTCACCTAATGAAAGGTGGTAAATGTGGTGGGAGAGGAAAGAAGTAAATGGAAGGGCGTGCATGCGTGCGTGCGTGCGTGCGTGCCCAATCAGTCCTTTCTTCCTAAAAAGAATGACTATTTGTCATTCTGGTCCAATTAAGTGTTTTGCAGTCTGGTTTTAGGGAATAAACATGTATGTATGCACATATAAACTTGAGACTACTTCCACAGTTGATGTTCTTTCAAATGAAAGCATGACCAGCTAAGAGGCTTTTGACAGCCTCTCAGAGGAGGCGCTGAGCAAGCATGGCTGATTGGAGAAGCTTCCTGCTAGAGTACATCCTGTGTCCTGGCTTTTCTGTTATTTTTTTGCAGCATCCCAGAACTTTGCAAACATGTTTGCTGAACCTTAGTTCTGAGACATATGCTGGGTGGTGTAGGCGTTAAGGGACAGTGAAGTTTACAAAACAGTTATATCTTGTCATTCACATGGCTGACTCACAATGTGTGTTCTTTTTCTGAAGTCCCTGTAAATCATGCTGAGAAGAGACCACTGAACTGTGTACTGAGCAGTACAGACCTGGGTGGGACCACCAGAATATCTTAGAAGGCATGTTGCTAAGTCACGTTTGAGAGAATGTAGTTATCACCTATTCTCATGCACAGGGAACATTTGTAGATCAAGCATATGACCTTCAGTTCCTCACGTGGTGGGAGGTTGGATGGGTAACCAAGCCTAAAGAAAGACTAAGCTTCTGTTTTCTGCTTGTATTTTTCTATATTGCTCCTTTGAAGTGCTTTTAGATTGCTTGTATATAGTGAAAAAGGTTGTTTGGGAAGTCGAAGGTGAAACTGTTTTTAGGCATTCCTATCCTAATACAAGCTTGTTCTTCTCCATCCCTAGGTGTACTACCCAAATTTGGGGTGGATGTGCATTGATGCCACTGATCCGGAGAAGGGAAACTGGCTGCGCTATGTAAACTGGGCTTGCTCAGGAGAAGAGCAGAATTTATTTCCACTGGAAATCAACAGAGCCATTTACTATAAAACCTTAAAGGTAACAGTGTTAGTGTTCATCTCCCCCTGGCTACTTTGCATGCATTCTCTAGATGCAGCCTAATTGTAACTGGGGAAGAACAACTTCACAGACCCAGAGTGGATTTTGTTTGAAGAGGTTCATCCACGCACCCAAAGCTCCATGTTAAATACATGTTCACGAGGCCTTGCGTATGTTGGAGAACTAGAGGAAGAAGATTGTGTTGAGTAATTACAGGCTGCATCTTTCTTCATACTATTGATTATCTGTGGCATCTGCTCCCCTCCTCTTCCTCTGACACAGATGCACTGGGAACTGTCTGGCTGATTTATCCTACTGTGAGTTGCTATCAGTACCATGGTGGTGCCTGTTAACAGCATACTCTTAGTGTTCAGAGTGAGTGAAGCCTTGGATTAGCCTTTCCTTTCCTTTGATTATATTCAGGATAGATTTTTTGGATAGATTTCTTCTTCTTGTCAAGAGGGAAGATTAGTTGCAGAGATGAAGGGGACCATAATTAGAGCTGGTGATGAGGGTACCCAGCACATTTGGAACCTTATTACTAGGATGCTTTTCATGTTGTCATGTTTCTGTAGTGAGCAAGATTCTGGTACCCTCTTTGATTTTCACTGGTCATGTTTCTGTAGTAAACAGATCTACATTCCATGTATGGAATGTTCTAGAATGGAATCTTGGGGCTGGAAAGATAGGTGATGGTTGCCTCTTTTGGAATAGATACCTCTGTCCAAATTGCTGTAACAAGCAAATAGTTATTCATTCAGTTGGTTCCACTAATATGTTACAAGCTGGGAGGCAAGTCTGTAGATTTTTTTCTTTTTCTTTCTTTTTTTTTTTTTTAATTTTCACAGAGTTGGAAACTGGATTATTTCAGGCAGTGTCCTGAGTTCATAGGTGTGGTAGCATAAGGCCTTCTACAAGTTGTGTTAGTGTGTGACTGTTAAATGTTCTTCAATTGTATTTTCCTAGCTTTGCTACTCTGACATGTTTATACCTAAACCTGGCTTCAAGGCCCTCAGGATTTGGATTTTTTTCCCCATGTTCATACTTAGGCATACCTAAACGTAGCATAATGCAAATACATTTAGTCCAACTTCAAAAGTCCCCTTAAGTCTACAGCAGTCTCAACAGTGTGAAATGTCCAAAGTTCAAAGTCTCTTCTGAGATTCTTCTAGTCACTTAACAGTAATACCCAAAAGCAAGACAGGAAACCAGCTGGACACACTCCAAACTCTATATCTTTAAGACTGATGTCAAAGCAGTCTTCAGATCTCCAACTCCTTTTTCATCTTTGTTGATTGCAACAAACGTCTTTCTCCTGGTCTGGTTCCACTCCCTGTTAGCAGCTTTCCTTAGCAGATAGCCCATAGCTTTGGCATCTTGAAAATCTTTGGGTCTCCAAGGTAACTTCAATGGTATATCGTCTTGTTTCAATGTCTAGGATCCACTCACGATCTTCTGGGCTCCTCCAAAGGGCTGGCATCACTTCTCCAGCTCTGCCCTCTGTAGCACTCTAACCTCAGGTTGATCCACCCCACTGCTGTTGCTGTTCTTTGTGACCATCTCATGGTACTGGCATCTCCAATACATTAGGGCCTTCCGCTGCAACTAGGCTTCACCAATAGCCTCTCATAGGCTGTCTTCATTATGCCAAGCCTCAACTCCTTTACATGATCCCTTCAGTCCTGGGCTGTCAACTGGAACTGAGGCTGTACCTTCACCAGTGGCCTTCCATAGCCTCTCACAGTGCCAAGCCTCAGCTGCTCTTCATGACCCCTTCATGCCTTCAAAACCAGTACCACCTGGGTGACTCTTACATGTTACCAAGTCCAGCTGCACCATGAGGTGACAACCTTGGCTATCTCTAGAATATAACTTCTTTGTGCTCTCAGAAATACTTGCCAGAAGATTTCCCAGAAGACCAGAGATGCTGGTCTCTTCTTAATCACCACTAATTTCTTAGTTCCAGCTAACCAGCATCAATTGTCACAGAATTCCATTCTATTCTGGACTCTAAAACCAGAGTCATGTGGCCAAAGCTGTGGAGTTCTGTTGCTTAGTGGGACTGGAACATGGCCCCCTCGTTGTATTACATCATCACCAGCTTTCTGTTCTCCAGCTCCTTCACTGCCTAAGCTTGGCTGTCCTGGAATTTGCTCTGTAGATTGACTGAACTCAGAGATCTGGATGCCTGTCCCCCAAACACTGGGGTTAAAGGTGTGTTCCACCAAGCCTGGATTTAAGTTTTTCTTCACCTAGAACTTGCTCTGTTCTAGGCTAGCCTTGAACTCAGAGATCTGTTTGTCTTTGCCTCTTGGGATTAAAGGCTTGTACTACCGTGCCTGGACCTAAATTTAGCTAGGTGGGATCTTGCCCCCAAGGAAGGCTGCTAGCAGACTACTGGCTTCTGGGCAGCTAGGATGAGGGAGGGTCTTAAAGCCCACACCCACAGTGACAAACCTACTCCAACAGGGCCATACCTTCGAATAGTGCCACTCCCTGGGCCAAGGATATACAAACTATCACACTGTCTAAACTCAACATCTCTGATGGGATTTCCTCTTTAAAACAAAAATAAGGACTGAGTGTTGTGCTCACACTTATAATGCCAGTGCTTTAGAGGTAGAGGCAGGTGGATCTTTGAGTTCAAAGCTAGTCTAGTCTACTAGAGTTCCAGGCCAGTCCAGGTTACATAGTGAGTGAGGCCCTGTCTCAAAAAGCCAAACAAACAACAAACAAAAACTCTAGGGCCAGACTCTCACATAGCCACAGTGTACTGCACATCAGGAAGCCAGCACCTAGGCAATATTCTATTAGCTGATCACCCACTCAGCCAAGATTGTATCTGCTTTTGCAGTCACATCCTTATAGAAACAGAATTCTGGCTCTCATTTGTCCCCTAGGCTTGGGCAGTTCCTTTGGTTTTTGATAACTTTTCAGTTCTGGGGAGACTCAGTTTGGCCTTCCTTTTGATTAGATTCCACTTATACCTCTGGGCATCCCAGAGGTGATCTGTCCTATGCATGGTCCCAGGGGGCAGGTGCTGCCCATCTGACTCACTATAAAGACTCTTCCTCCATGTATGACTCATAGCTGCTTATGGGGAGAGGGTTTTGACAGGAAGCAAATGTTTTGGTACACCTCACACTCTCACCTCACCTAATACTGTCAGGTCTACTGGGGAGCCTTGTCTGGATCAGTCTGTGTTGATGATTGCAATATGGGTTATTTTAATTGCCTCGTTCCCACTCATTCTACACTAAGCAAGAACATTCCCTTTTTTTGTGTGTCTCTTCCTGTGATCATCTGTGTCAGCATGTGGACTTAGATGGCCTTTTACTTGAACTTTCTGAACAGATGGATCCCTGACAATGAAAGAAAACTATTAGCTACCTTTCCAATTCTGTTTAGAACTCACTTTTCTACTAAAAATATTTCTTTAGTATATTGAAGGTATAGTTGTATGATGGTGTCAGGTGTGACTGTAAAGAATTTAATGTTTTAGGAGCATAATTCATGAGAGCTATTCTTAGGGATTTCTGTAGCTAGAAGTTGTGATGTACATTCTTGATGTGTTTTCACAGGCCTGCGCTGCTTTGATGACTGTGCATTGAGGATGCTAGGTTGGGCTCTTGCCTGAGCTCAGCGCTTCTGTACTTAAAATAGTGGTTGTGTGCATGGATTAATTTGTGCTTGGAATCAGAAACATATGCTTCTAACTCCTTCCCATGTCATTTGCTTCTTAATAGCCCTTTAAATTTCTCATTCACTGGAATTTCACGGGCACAATGCTCCCATGTTTTATTTTCTCTTGCGTGGGTGGCATGAGACTTGGAGGTAGCTGTAAGAATCTGGTGATGGAGGCTGAGCACTAAGCTCAGTTCAACCGGTGCATGCACTCATGCGATCCTCTGTGACAAGCTGCCAGGTCATCCTGTTTGTCCCGAGTGCCCTGCCTTGCCCCTGCCAGCCAAGGAATTTTCTGCTAGCCCTGGCCGCGGCTCCGCCTTCTGCCCCCGGACTGCGCCCTAGGCTCCGCCTCCTTCCAGCGCGCACCCTGGCCCCGCCTCCCCTCCGCGCGTGCCCGCGGCGGCGGCGCCCTCCCGACAGCTGTTTGCGGTCGGCGCGCCGCTCTTGCCTGCTGCCGCGCCGCCCCCGCCAACAACCGCGTTTCTGATTGGTGTGCCCCTTGTCTCTTTTCTTCGGTAGCCAATCGCGCCTGGCGAGGAGCTCCTGGTCTGGTACAATGGGGAAGACAACCCCGAGATAGCAGCTGCGATTGAGGAAGAGCGAGCCAGCGCCCGGAGCAAGCGCAGCTCCCCGAAGAGCCGCAGAGGTAGGAATCGCCGCCGCCGCTGGGCCCGGGCCGCACCCACGCCGGCCTAAGAGTCGAGGTCCGGGCGTCGCCCGTAGCGTCGCGGTGACCTTTTCCGGGCTTGGCCCGCCGTCTCCGCCCGGCCCGCTGCTGAATCACGGCAGTCCCGGCGCGTTCGGGCTGTTTGCGAACTTGTGCCTGAGCGCCCGCGCGGCGGGAAGTGCGCGTGCGGCCGCCGAGTGCGGGCCCGGCCCTGCTCCCGGAATAGGGCCGGCCGCGCCGCGAGGGAGGGCCGCCTGCGCCTTCCGGCCCGGCTGACAGCGCAGGACGCGGCAGAGGAGGGAGACGGGAAGGGAGAACCGGACCTGGGAGAGACAAAGATGGGGTGCACCGGGAGCCGAGGGCGGTAGGCTGCCGCACAGAATGTGTTGGGCTTTGTGGAAGTTTAGGAGGCTTGCCGTCCCTTCAGTTCTGTGTTAAACGATGTTTTGAACAGAAGGTAGAGTGTAGTCAGTCACACTTATAAAAGGGAGGGGATAATTTGTGGGTAGGGAAATAGTTTGGTTGGCTATATCATATTTCCAGCTGGCATGCCGATACGTCGCTGGAATATTTTTACGAAAAACTTTTAATGTGAATTTGGGGATCTTTTATTTTCGTCTACTTTGAGTACAGGCCAAGGCACGATATGGTCGCTTTTATTAGAACAGGAACTTTGGGGGTTTTTTGTTTTGTTTTTTTGTTTTTTTTGCTCTCTCCTTAGATCTTAGTAAATCCGAACAAGCCTGTTCTTTTCCCAGACGTTGCAAAGTATTTTGTGGGAGTGAGGCTATAAATAAAAGTATAAACATGGTTTTGGAAAACTCTCAAGCCATATTTGATGAGCTCATTGTGACTTTTCAGTTCCATATTCTTTGCATTTTACAGCAAAGTGAAATAGGCTCACCCAAGGGATGACTGGTGGGTCGCTTGCTGAATACAGTTTTCTATTTATTGACGGAGATTTAGTTGTTGTTTTAGGTCAGTAAATACTTTGATTCTGGGTCAGATGATAAGAGTCCAGAAAATTCCAGTCTTTCCTCAAGTATTTTAACTCTGCATTGAGATTTTTTGGACTGAGGTCCAGCATTTTGTTTTCCATGCCATGATTTGTCTTGTTTCTGTATTTAATATGTATTTCGTTTTTAAGCAAGAATCTTGCTGCCAGCTTTCTAGAGAAGGCATGACTTTTGGAGGCCAAGGATTAGGGGATCTGGGGACTTTGTTACTGTGCCACTATACTTAATTCTGACATTTAATCAGATCTGTAACCTGATGGCAGTCTGTCTTACTTTGCTTTGTGGTAGACTTTGGTGTGTGTATTCAGAACCTATTTCTCATTCTTTTTTTTTTTTTTTTTTTTTTTATTCCTTACTGTTTCATTCAATTCAGTGTGGAAGAAAAACCTGAAAATAATCTTTTTATTTTATTAGTGATACACAAATGTACATATTTCATGGCTAGATTGCTGGTTTTTATGTTGTTTGGTGATTTTGTTTTTCTTTTGTCTGTCTGTTGTTTTTGGTTGTTTTTTGAGTCAGGGTTTCTCTATGAGGTCCTGTCTGTCCTGGGACTCACTCTGTAGACCAGGCTTGAACTCACAGAGATCTGCCTGCCTCTGCTTCCATCTCCAGAGTGTTGGGATTAAAGGCTGTGGTCCACCACCACTTGGCAGTAATTCATATTTCTTTCTGCCCCATTATTTTGATAGAGTCTGAGCAGCAGACAGCTCACTGAGTTCTTCTTGAGCTTTAATTAAGACTTGCGTGGAGTTCACTCTTAGAGCGTACAGCCACTCTGCTTTAGGCAGCTTACTTCAGAAGAGGCCGGTCTACTCTCTGCAACCTAGAGTTTGGAGAATTTAATGAATCAAACATTTCCTAATTATACTGTGAAATCTAACTTACAGCTTGTAAGATCTGAACGCCAGAACTTTTTATATTGTCAATATGACTTTAGACATTTTAAATAATAGTATCAGAGAGAATTAAAGTAAATTGATTCAGAGGCAGTGTGGACTATTTTTGAAGGCCAGATGTTGAGGACATACAGCTGTCTACTAGATTGATATTGGGCATAACCTCGAACTGTTGAAACAAAGGACTGGATTCTTCATAGTTCTGAACCTCAGCTCCTTTGCATGGCAGCTGCTATGCCTACATCTGTGTGTTGCCAAGAGAGACCTTTCTTAACTCATCAGATCGTTGGTGGATCATAAGGACTTTCAGGTGTAGTGAGTAGTGAGAAACCCTGGGTCCCATGTCGGCTATCCACCCACCCACCCACCTACCTACCTACTCACCCACCCACCTACCTACCTACTC